TATTAGTACGCACCCAACTTGACAAAGTAGACGATCTCTGCTGAATGTAGCAGGAAAGCAGTTCGTTGTCTTCCTCAAGGCTTCTCATATTTGCAAGGAACAAATCTTGGCAGAGCCTCTTGTCTTACTGGCTTGCTGCTCAAATGACAAAGATGAATGGTGTCCGAATAAGGCCTAACACGCTTCATCAAAGCAGTGACGGTCAGTCAATGACGGCCTTTGTTGGTTGGACCGAACAATTGGATGCTTATCGTAAGGACCAACTTTTTCAAAGCCGATAAGCTGCAGCTGGCTTGACTTGCCAATGCACTTGGCAAGTTGGCTGTAGGTCCGAGAATCTTCCGATTCAATATATGATTCGAGTCGACCGTTGAAAGGAAGCATATCCTCGTAATAATGATCATTTCATCGGTCGAGGCTAACGAAGCCAGCATTTAACTGACTGCTGGCGGTTTCCATCCTCATACACTCCAGTTGTCATCGAATCTAGTTCTCCTAAATTGAGAATACAGTTCCCTACAAGCTTAGCCTTCAAGGGTTTGGGCTCAAGATTGGGTCAAGCACTACTACCAGAACTTAGATGACGATCCTTCTCGATAATTTATTATTGAGCAGAACTTGAACATAAACATGTATTGAAATTGTTTTCCTGCGCCTACAAGTTGGTACCACGACGGGAAATTTTACCATGATCGATTGTGGCATGAAAATGGAGGATCAAGATATTTTGGTGACTACCTTTGAGCATAAGAGAAGTAAAAAAGAAGCATAGGAGGGCTTTACAATTCAAAAATTTCACACACTTCAACGAAATCAGCAAAAATCTAATGACATACGACGGTCATATTTCCAAGAAAATAAATCAAGTCGTAAAAACCATTTCTAGCCCCACCTCATAGAGTGAAGACTGAACGAGAGAGATAAGCCAAAGTTGCCGAAGTTGCAAGGATTGACACCACCAAGAAGATCACGTTTCCAGAAACCATTTCAGCCTATTACCTTACATTTTGATTGAGAGAGAGAGAGAGAGAGAGAAGTTTTAGACTTTCAAGGACTCTGAAAGACCTAGTGTTCGGTCACCTTCCGAAAAATATGCAAGGGCCAATAAGCAAGAGCCAAAAACTTACAGTTTTGGAAGACTGAATGATGAACATGTCTCCTTTCAACATCACTGACATGTGAATATCACTTAGAAATTTGGTGGTAGTATATGCTATCTCTATTGCTCATCGTTCAGTTCATTCTTTGTCCAGCAACTTTGTTTGGATAAGTATATTTGCAGATTGCTGACGGTATGATAGGAGGAATATACAGCTTCTTTTTTATCATCTTACAATTGTTTCAAGATGGGCCGTGCGCTTCACTGTCATGGAGTTTGCTGAAAAATGGTAGACAGGAAATGCGGTACGGTTGGGGCATACGAGGTTCAGGCACGTGGTTGAACTATGACTCAAAAAGCGTTTAGATGAGAACACCGTACCTCGCCTTGCCATCCACGATCGTGAGGTTGAAGCGCATGAATACAAAGAGCGTGCGCATAACATCCAAGCGACTTGAAATGCTGCCCTGCAAACGCTTTTGTAAATAAGAGATACAGATCAGTAGCGTGGCGAAGACTTCTCCGCGGGTGCATGAACAAGTTAAAGTGGCATAATTCTTCAGCAATCAGGTCAAGGGACCTGATACTTGTTATACACAAAATCTGTATGGACCGACCTCATGGGCTTGCTGTGACGGTTTATGATCTTTGTCGTGCTCAGAAAACAGCTAACAGCAATTCATATATTCTGTCATAAAAAAAATAGTGTCGTTGTCCTTCCTTAGCAAAACTTTGTCCATCAACGAATCACGACTTTTAAATGATAAATTTTGTTTAGAAAGAAATACTGACAGTATCTTATGTTCCCACAAAACCAAAATTTTATCTTCTTGGTCAGTCTCCAAGCCGAGAATCATTGTAGAAGGAAAAAAATATCTGGGCTTGGAGAACTAGATGATGAGAATGTGACGTCTCGCTAACAAGGAGAATATAAGATAACGCGCAGGGGGTTGGTTATGGAGGTCACATGTAGCACCTTGGAACTGAAAAGAGCAGAGAACTTGCTTGCTGGTCAGGTGCAGAGGATGTTTTCTGAATCCAAGGAGATCATGAACAGCCCCGATAGTTTCCGAACATGAGCAACGGGTAAACAGCACGGAACAGAAATGCTTGATCCACACAAGCTGGTAATGACTGGACGCTTACGCATCAGACAGGACATGTACAGAAGGGAGAGAGAATGTCGTTTTTGGCATTCTTGAGCGGATGCTTCTTTGACCAGAAACAACTCTTTGTTAATGCCAATGATAAGCTACAACAGTCAAAAATCAGTTTTTATATCAACTACCTTTCAAGGTTTCGTGGCCATGAACAACTAACTGCTCGATCACTATTACGACGTTTCGCAGTCTTATCAGACACGAGCACGAGTGTTTTCGTCCCCCGCCTGAGTATAAAATCTCTGATGTGTGCTTTACACAACGAGATGTGTGTTGTGCACAAGGCGATGACAAGATGAGCAGTTCTTAATTCTATCGTCAGTTCCAACTTCGATCTGATGACCTCAAAGTGACGATCGTCAAATGTTCCCCGTCTGTGCAACTCTGTCCAGACTGTCGAGCCGGGAGCTGGAAGTCATCAAGTAACTCAAGCACGATCCGTACGTGTAGAAACGTACTGATGCATTTGAGGATGGCTGGCCGGGTAGAAGCCAACGCAGCAGAGCCGTTCTTCCCATTCACGCTCCAGGGTCTAGAAATCAGAGGGCAGAAGCAGGTTCCAGCAGTTGTGGACAACGGATGCGCTATGCTTGACAGCTGACTCATGATTATACGGAGATTGTTCGAGGGAAAAGTCTCGAGGTATCCAGCCCGAACCTACGACCACCAATTTCGGTCGTTGCTCCGGCCTATCATTGCGACGCGATTGTTGAGCCCTTCTTCACCCAAGACGGAAGATCTGAAGTGGAGAGGACATATCGAGTTATAGCCTATGGCCGTTCTGTGCACTTCTCTTGGACCAGATTCACATGCAGCCATAGCAGAGTCATCCACCCCTTGATCCTTGCCCGTCGAATAGCCTCGTACATTCTACAAATGGATACACTCATGTCTTATAATGCATCAACGCTTATGATGTGGAGATATCTCATGATTCTCATCATGAAAAGGACACTGCAAACAATTTTATGATAAATGACGGAGAACCATGGAGCAAAATCTAGTAGGTCGGTACCCGAATCAGAAGGAGCCCTTTGCCATGGCTTGCGTGCGCGATGGATTGGCAAATAGTATAATGGCGAGTGCACTTGAGATGAGGAAGAGCAGAAGGCACCTGGAGATCTGGCGTGAGGAGATCATTGTAACAAACTCATAAAAGATTACAGAAAGCGCTTAGCAATTCGCAATAATATCGAGAGACGTGATGATAGAAGACATCCATTGAGTGCAATCCAGACAGTCCACTCAGATATCGATGATGTACCTTCGGAGACCAAATTTATGTTAGTGGCATCCAATGCGGCTGTGTACCCTATGCTTTCGCAGTAGGAGAGGATTGCTTACAACTAAGAAGGCTCTTGGCCCTACCTTCAAGGATTTCAAACGAAGACTTTTGGCTAAAGTTGAGCGCTAGAGTGTACTACACTTTGAAATGATTGCTACCATGATAACGGGCTATGCTTCCATACATAACTATCTGTAACCTTCCATGATCCAAGGAATATGGCACAAATGATGGAAGACAGTCAGAAACACTGCGTTATTCGCACATCGAGACAAACCCCGTCAAACAGTACGAGATGTGCGGAGAAATCTCTAGACCTGATACTCATTTGCATGCCACACATGTGGCAAGCCCTTTGGACGCTCAAACATGCGTAAGAGAGAGGAACATCCTCCGCCCTGTTTCAGAAGAGTTGTGCTCAACCTTCCCCAGTATCGAGTAGATTAGTTGTCTGCAGATCAAGTATGGTAGGAATTCATCGACTGCTTGCCAGCTTTTATGTCTGTGAACAACTTTAAGAACATGACCAGATCGGGAATCCGGAAGGAAGAATACGGAGGAGACACATGGAGGGATGGACCACGCCTCGAAGGTACTAGACTGGTGCAGACCGAGTGACTTCCTAATATATAATTTGGCAGGTGACATACTTTGGACCCAACAGCAGTAAGCGTGATAATTTCCAAATGCGACATATCTAACATGTTGTATCCTTAAGATGTCCAATCTTAAGGACACATCTGTAATCACCGTAAAGATCAATACGCAAGTCAAGGCATCTATGACGTTGGATTTCCATTTCACTTTGTAGGAGCCATAAAAGGCCACATATTTCACGAGGTCATGATCACGTCGAGGATCACACACAAACTCGAGGAAGTATTTTCCTGCAAATGAAGAAAATTGCCGAAGAGATGGAAAGCGGGTCCCTAGTGCACCTGAGGTTCCCAGACCTGATTGGATAAATGTGCATGCGGAATTATTTTATTTAAATATTTACTTAACGTTTTGTTCTATCCTGTCGTCTGAACGGGAAAAGAGGACTCAGTGTCGAATGGAAGCAACGATAACACATTTAAATAAACCTAACGTGGAGAGTACAAAGACTCAAAAAGGCAGAAAAAGGTGGCAACGAGCAAGATAAAAAAGTGAACTCTACCGACCTTTGGGTTTGGACACTTCTCTGCAGACCAAGTAAGCAGGCAGGCAGAAACTACCACCATGCACGTAATTTTATGCTTAGCTCTGAGCTGATTGCGGTTCACTGACATAAGTGCACGAGATACCGGATTTGCGGTTATGTAAGCAACCAGAGTGCCATATCAGAGGTCCGAAACTGCGACGGACTGCTAAAAGGCAGGTCCGGGGTATACGAGGACTCTGCAGGGAAAAGTCGGGAGGGAGGGAGGGGGGGGGATGGAGGCTCAAGATAAGGTTGTGATGGAGACGATTTACGGGGTTACTAGTCTGGTGCTAAATACCAAACGTCACAGAGTCAGCGGAAAAATTAGACGGCAGAAATTCCACTGAGCGCAGAGCACGGCAGCTTCATTGCCTTCATCGCTCTCTGTGTTTCGAACCCGCAGGTGAAGAATGTCGGTGGGTGCTGCGGGCATGGCGAGGGTCGGAGGAGCCACCGCGTCGATCCGCGCTTTAGTGCCAATTTCTTACCTCGCGGGCGCAGCGCATTCGGCAGATCTCGGTTTCTCATCCACGTCTCAAAGCAGAATCGTCTTGGTTCCTTCTTGTTTATCGTACCCTAATTCTTCACTCTCGTATCGACGAAATGTTGGAAATGTCGGAAATTTGCGGACTTCGCTGCTCCCTCCCATCCTGTACTCAGCCTCTCCTTCATGGTCGCAATCATCGTTCGTCGGCTCGGCTTCCATTAGAGCTGCAGGTTTGAACGGCAAGCTTCTTGCTCAGGAAGGACGACACATTGCGAGCAGCGGTGTGATTGTTCGATGTATGTCCGAGCAGTCGGAAAGCGTTCTCGAGGACATGATTTGCAGTAAAAATTCTGAGAATGCCGTCGTCGTGTATTCGAAATCATGGTGCCCCTACTGCGGCAGAGTGAAAAGCTTATTTCGGGAACTGGGGGTGGAGTTTCTGTTGATCGAGCTCGATAATCTTGTCGAAGAGCAGGAAGTTCAAGAAGCGCTTCGTAGGTTAACTCGACAGAGCACAGTTCCAAACATCTTCATCGGTGGCAAGCACATTGGCGGATGCGACGATACGATGGATCTGCACAGGAGAGGGCAGCTAATGCCCTTGCTAACAGCTGCCGGAGCCAAGATCTCCAAAAGCTGAGCAGAGTAGAGTGTTATCACATTAATGAATTCCTGGGCGCCCATAGATAGATGGTAGTTGAATTGGACAAGTTTGGTACTCGCGTACCTTCAGTTTCACACCTGCAACAGGTGTACATTTCAGCTGAGGCCCCGGGAAGACACTCTGTGCCAATTGTAACTAGCAAATTTGTGGCAAGATTTTTCCAAAAATAAGTATTAAATAAATGACACCACTGTGGTTGTTCGAATTTCCCCACACTCTGTTGTTATGTAGCTCTGAAAAGATGACGAACCTCAAAGTGTGTAACGGAACGCATGTTCCATGGTCCAGGGATTTAAGCAACTGACAAAAGTGGTTGCAATTTTGCGGTACTCGTTGCCGAGGGCCTTCACGAGATGTACAACAAGTTATACCGATAGTTTACGCACGTCTCTCTATCTCGCCTTTTTCTTGTCGTCGACTTCAATGAAAAGCCGCAGTGATGTCAATGTACTGTCACGGTTTATCTAGCCCTTTGTCGCATTCGTATTTGAAATGTCGTTGCTCTTGGTGGGAAAGCCTTCCCCACTGCTCGTCTCGAGACAATCGAGGTCTCACGTAGAACGAGCATACGAGCATATACCAGTTCCACGATGTCATCAAAAGCGAGATACTTCTGCAGAAGGATGGATGGAGAGATAGCTGCTGCGCTGGTAAGAGAAAAGTCTGACCGATCTCGTCACCAAAAGTGCGACGATGACAACTGACTGGAAGACTGTACGCGCACGATGCAGAGAGCTCATCACAATGGCATGCAAGAACTTACGCTTTTGCCGAGGAGATTCGATGCGAGCCCTGCGTCTCCCGAACGTCAAACAGGTTTCGAAATCCGCAAGTCCCGAAACCTTGAGAACGAATGACGGTGTCGGGGAGGATTACCGCTCGTTCAATCACAGCGCAATCGAGCAGCAGCGGCATGGGGATGAAATCGCACCGCATTCATTGAAGGATTTACGATGATTTGTGTCAGTCGGGACAGGAGACAGAACGGGGTCTCGAAGACGAGAGGCAGATCGTGGGGTGCAGCAATTCTGCGGCAACGGAGGAGTGTAGAAAAATACGCGAGCCGAATCGAGGATCGTCGCGCAGGCGGGAGAAGCCACCAGTTATTATTGCTCATGAAGGCACAATCATGCGGCGGGCTCGGCCCCTCCCTTTGCGTCGTCGAGGCTCTGGCCAGCTTGCATTCCATGGCTTTCTCGTATCCCGAAGAAGGTTCCGAACCCAAGAGTTCGAACCTTCGTCCGAGAGCGGGACGGCGAACAGCAGCTTCGCGTCTTGTCTGCCGGTGGTGAACAGCCGGAGGGAGAGGAGGGTGGTGGTGGTGGTCCGGAGGTCGGTCGGTGGGGTCGGGTCGGGTAGGGCCGGGTCGCTCGAATTACACCCCGGGATGCTGTGAAAATCCGAAGGTCGGATCCGAGACGAGTTCGAACAGCTCAGGCCACCACCACCGGCAGCAGCGGTTGTCACATCCGGACGGATAAGAGCACTTTTCGCCGAGAGCGGATGGAACGCGGGGGACGGAAATGGCGGGGCTCCGGCGGGCGGAAGAAAGCTCCGCGGCTCGAGCGGCTGCCACCTGGCTCGCCCTTTATCCGCCGGGGAATCCGTAACGCCCGGGCCGACGAGATTCACACGATATGATCTCCGGACTCATGCCCCTCGGACTCCCGGTCACTGCCAGATTCTCGACCCCGATTCTCTTGGTTCGTTCGTTCGTTCGTACAGCCTCCGTCCTGTCCTGCCTGTACCACAGTCTCCACAGTCCAGAATCACGAGTGTGTGTCTGCCGAGCCCCTGGCCCTGCCCCTCCCCCTCCCCCTAGCCCTGCAGTCGGGGCTTCCGTCGTACGTACGTCCTGACGTGGGGATCGGATCGCGCAGGAGGCGACGGGGGTATGGGCTGCCGGAGAGGGCCTCTTCTGTGGTAGACGGAGCTTCCCACAGTGCGAAGTTAGACTCTCGACCAACCCAGAGGTTGGCGGTTCCTGGTTCCCCCGCACCCCCTCCCGTCCATGCATGCGCGCCGGCAGACGTCGAAATGCGTGGCACTCTTTTTCGGGGCTGAGCTCTTGCGGTCGCAGTCTCTACGACGTAGGGGTCGATGCGATCGAGACATTTCCGAGCTCGATTTTTTCCCCGATGCCGTGGCAAAGGCAGTCTTGGCGAGTTTAGGGCCTGAGGCTAGTGTTGGAGGCACAGCTCCAAAGGCATGCCCGCGGGCATGCCTCATTCGCATTTTCCATACGGGGCATGCCCGTATGTACGAAATAATTTAAACGTGTATTCCAGAGTTATAGATGGCGGGATCAATTAAAATATAAATGGGAAATTATGCTTGTTGTTGGGGCTGCAAACTGCTCTCGTAACTGAAGGATTTGCCAAGTATATGCAATGCTGTTTTTGTGTCGGTACGTGGGATGTAGACAAGCCGGAGGATATGTCTACATCCCACGTACCGACACAAAAACAGCATTGTTTCTCCTTCTAAGAGTGCTTTAATCTCATAGAAGTATATTTTTTGATACATTAAATACACGTATTGTAATACGGGCATACCTTTTGACCTTGAAAGGGGCATGTCATGCCTAAAAAAAAAATTATTGTGCCTCCAACCCTACCTGAGGCTCGGAGCCGGAGATGAGGAGATCAGATTTCTCTCCGGATTGGCCGACCTTCAGAGGTGTGGACAGAACGGAGGAGGTCCGTGCGAGGATGCGGACCCAACTTTGGCCGAGGTGAATGGGGACTGATTTCAGGAGGTACTGCAGTTGCACCATGATTGGCCCCGCTTTAAGTCCTGCACATCCATGTTACAAGCGGCTCGGTGAGGTGAACCTCGACCGGGATCGAGGAAAACCACAAAAGTGAAAGTTCACAGATCCGCGTTTTTGAGAAGGGAAGACGAAATCAAGGAAGCCACTTTTTCTCCTGGCTTTGCGTGAGAAGAAAGAGAAATGTCTATTCACCCACCTCACGCCTGCTCTTTCCGTGGCTGGGGATTTCACAGTTGAAGCCTCGGGCAGATGCGAGCGCAAGAGAGCAGCGGCTTCCGATGCTTCAAGACACGACGTGGTATCCCTGAACGCATGGGAGAACTTGGCCTTTCCCACGTCGCACCCTCGGGGAGGGTGGACTCTCTTACACCAGGCTGGCTATATGTCCCGAGGGACATCCATCGCTGCTCTCTGTTGCTCGTGGTGATCGACGTGGGTGATTCTCCAGCGCAAGATTGCTGAGACTCCTCAGGATCTGCTTTATGATAAAACGAAATGTTGGGCCCTCGGAAAGAACACGCCGTTCTTGTTTGGTCTGGTTTCGCCACAGGTCAATTTGGCCGGCAGCACCTGAAACCCCGCACATGCATTTCCAGAGAGAATTTTTGCCCTTGGCCCTTGGTTTCCGCCACAGCAGTGGTGCCTCTCGGCCTCACCTCACACGCCCTCAATAGATCCAACACACGAAAGCATCCTTCGTGTGCAAACAAACATCCTTCCGCCCAAGTTGACGGCTCCAGCCGCGGTGTGCAGCAGTGCAGCTCACATGTGCCCGAGGTGGCTATGCTTCCCTGGCTTCAGTGTCAAATGAGTACCCTCAGGGTACTTCGACTAAACAGTGAGTCGTGGAGCATCAACGATGGATAAATCTCATGACCGTCCACTTCTTGGAGCGGAATTCCAATCCCAACTCAAACATTTGTGACGTTTCTGCATCAGGCCAGTGCCACCGGCAGTTTACATAGTGAGGTGTTTTGGCGCATGTTCGTTCTGTTGTAGAATTCGATTTATTCGTCTTTGTACGTACCCCACTGAACATGTCTTGCAGGTCCAGGCCTTGACTTGAGTACGAGCAGAAAAGGTCAAATAACCCCATGTATCTCCGTCGAGAAGCAGCAGACTACCACACGACAAGAGCCCCTTCATGTCAAGCTTACAGCAATCCAGACTCCAAAAGGCTGCCGTCTCTTGAATCAGCATCATAGAAAGATTGTCGGAACAGTGGGATTGTCCACAACTGTGGCGAAAAAGGTATGATGCCTCTGAGGTATCAAGTTACACAGAGAACCGAACATGCTACAACAGTGCCAACAACCTCTCCTTACTTGTCGCAGCTCAACTTAATAGTGAACTCTACCGTGTTCGAAGAGTGCTCCCAGAGTGCAGATGTGGTCCTCCCAACCAAGGTCGGTTCTGTTAACCAAGAAACAGTAACTTGAAAACGCAAGAATGGCCCTCGACTGGATTCAGATATTATCGCAGGTCAAGTAACACGAAGTTTATTGGCTAAAACACTTACGGTTTCTACGTCTCGGTGAGAAGAATAAATCTGTTCCCAACTTTTTCTTTACCCTCCTAGTCAGAAGTCTTGTTCAATGAACGCAGATTTCTAACTTCCATGATCACCACCCACAAATGCACAGGTTCATAAATCATATCCTCGCTCTGAACTTGATGAATAACCTGTCTTCATGAATGGTATGCATTGAAACTAGCGGAAGTGTGCTGGCACCGTAGCTAAACCTTAGGTGCAGTAGGACAAATTCCTACTGTGACGCTGTTGTGCCTAGCCCATCACATCCCTTCGGCTTCATCCATGTACGTCTTTGATGGGGTCTTCCTTCCTTTATGCTATATTACTTGCTACCTTCCCTTTAGCTAAAGCTTAGACAATCATGAGAGTGAAGGGAATAAGCTTTATAGGGCTATCTACGTTGTAGACACCACTATAGGTAAAAGTAAATGAAAGTACACAAAGGGCAATCTCTCGCTTCTGTCTGAAGTAGGATTCGTCCTCTTACCAACCAAAATCTGCCGCTATTGGAACTCAGGACGATCTCACGATGTTTGCAATATGAGAGCTTTTAGTGGTAACATATACCTGTATGTACCGTGACTGACAACTAATCGTCAATCAGAGCATATTCTTACGTCGTAGGCTTAGTGTATCCAGAGCTAGCTTCCAGATTTGGAAACGTAGTCTTTGAAACAACGACAGCGCACTGTTGTTGTTTCTGCTCTGCACAGTATGCTCCGATGCGCTTAAGGGTTACTCTGCTTGAAGTTACTTGATGCGTTGCTTTAAGCAAGAGATTGCTACCGTGTGTTGACTTTGATTGTATTTCATGTTTGCTGATTTAGCTCATTCAAATCTGATACCACGGGATTTTGCTTGCCTTCTCTTCCTCCGCAGTTTAAGGATTTCTGTGCACTTCTTTTTGTTGTCATAAAACCACTCTCCACTTCTGTTACTACCGGGGTCAATCTTCAATTCACTCGTGAGTAACTGGAGGTCCAAAATCAACTGCACAATCTACGGCAAAGATCCAGACTTAGCGGAGAAATAAAATTAGATTGAAAGATCTTGCAATGCCAGAACTACAAGTATATCATGTTAGACGGCAACTAAACAAGGAGTCCTGTTCACTCATTGAAACAAATGGGGCTGATTTTAGCTGATTAAAGTGCATGATACGAAGGGGAATTTTCTTGGAAGTTTGTTCACTTGATCAACAGCTTTTACCAAAATCCCATCATCCATCAAGAAACTGAACACAAATAGCTACAGCTCCAGAGCTAGCTTGATAGATGACCTTATCTCTTTCAGGTTCAGCCCGAATACATGTAAAGTCCTAGCCTCAGTACTGCAATGCTTCTGACCTGGTCAGACTGCCTGGCAGTGGCAGGACACGGTCCTGATGCCAGGTAAGAGAGATGACTGTTTCGGGTCGAAGATCTTCTCCCCTGATTTGTGCCAACGGCCCAGGACTCTGCTCTTCACCCAAGAGGCTCTGGAGAAAACTTTTATCCTTCTAATTCAAACGGGAATAATTGGATCCTCCTAATTCCATCTTCTTCAGATTGCACTATTCATGCAGAATGAAGATACAACAGAAAACCTGAATATCCATAAACTGGGAACTCAAATCATGAGCTGGAGGTCGTGAAACTCTGGCCAGGTGCACGACAAAGAAGTAGAGAACCACTTACGAAACAACGATTATCTTCTATGATATTCATAATGCACAAAATATCTGCTGATCAATGTGCAGAGCTGTAGCCATCTACCGCTTCTTCCTACACGTCCTAGCGATCCATGCCCGTCGGGACTATGGTATCTGTTGAGTAGGCTACTATGGTGTGCAATGCACACTCTAAGCAAAAACAATTGAAATCGAATAATATATT